TGTGGACACTACTCCGCAACAGAGGAGCTACACACTTTTAAGCAGTGAGAGCAGTGGCCGCGTGGCTTCGCCGGCCACCAGACACCGCCATTACGACGCTGGGCTCAAGAGTGTACTGAGAACAGACAGCGACTAAAATAGCCAGCCCTTCGGTGGGTCCCCACTCAGTTCTCAAGCTGGTTTTAGCTCATCTTGTGCCATTACAAAGAGAACAAATCTGAAGCATATCAGACTGGTCCCACCCGTACGAGCAGTCCAGATCTGAAATGCCAGCAAGTTCCCTCTGCATGAGAGACATAGCAACCCCAGACGATCGTTTCAACCTTGTTAGGCATCATCAGTGAATCATAGCTAATATCTCTCCAGGCACCGTGAGCAAGGGGTCCACGTCTGGATTACCCTTTAAACTTATGGAGAGCAAAACGCAGGGCGCAAGACTGTACTGAGAACGGACAGCAACTAAAATAGCCTGCCCTTCAGTGGGTCCCCACTCAGTTCTCAAGCTGGTTTTAGCTCATCTTGTGCCATTACAGAGAGAAGATCTCTGAAACATATCAGACTGGTCCCACCCGTACGGGCAGTCCAGTTCCAAAATGCCAGAAAGTTCCCTCTGCACAAGAGACATAGCAACCCCAGACGATCGTTTCAATCTTGTTAGGCATCATCAGTGAGGCATAGCTAATATCTCTCTACACCGTGAGCAAGGAGTCCACGTCTGGATTACCCTTTTTGAACTAATGGAGAGCAAAAAGCAGGGCGCAAGAGTGTACTGAGAACTGCCCGTATGGGTGGGACCAGTCTGATATGTTCTCTCTGTAATGGCACAAGATGAGCTAAAATCAGCTTGAGATCTAAGGTGGGGACCCACCGAAATGAAGGCTATTTCAGTTGCTGTCCGTTCTCAGTACACTCTTGCGCCTTGTTTTTTGCTCTCCAGGTTGCTCTTACAAGAGCAAGTGTTGTGATCCAATGGAGTATAGTGGGTATAGCAATCCCCAGACTAAATATAGCTCTCCAACCCCCAAACATGAGCCTAGACTTCATGAAGGGTAAAACAAATCGTTTTAATGGCAGCCAGAACTGGCCTTATATGCAGGTCCCCATGCACGGGGCACTCCCGTCTGGACCTGAGAGTAGACTACTGTAAAAACATTCACACTATTACATTGGCTCTCAGGTCCAGGACACTCCCAAACAAAATAGGTCAATCCCTCCCCTATGTCTGGGATATAATTGAGTCAGCACTGTATTAAACTCAATTATCTCCAGGCACAGAAAACATACAATTTTATAAAACACCCAAAATACCTTAAAACACACAACATCCTCCCAAAATTTCCTGGAAGTCATAATTTGACCGACCACACGCATGGTCCCATGCCCAAAACAGTTCCAGAGAATCAGGGCATGCAGTTTATCTAGTTCGGTAGTTTTAAACCGAACAAACTACCAAACAAACTCAATAGTCTTACCCTGGAGCTTCTTCCCCTTGTACGTGGGAATGTTTCCACCAAACAGTGTCTTCCTAAGTGCTATAAAACCGAACCCAGGCAATCATGGAAGTCCAGCAGTGTTCAGGAGTTTCGGTGTCCGAAAAAAGTTCCATGAACTCGACGACAAAACTGTCTGTGTTCATGTGACCTCGTGGCCGTCAATAGGAAATGCGGCCACCCAGACGAACACTGCAGTGGAAATTGCTACAAAGCAGCAATTAGGCTTAACAAGCTGCAGGGTGGTTCCCGAACCAAATATAAAATCATGAACCAAATATAAAATAGAAAATCCCCCGAACCAAGTCTGTTCACATAGTTTTTTAAAGGGCCAATTGTCTTTTGGTAAGAGGCTGGCCAGCAGGCCCCTCCACGAACACGTGACGAGGCTCAGTTCGTCACAAGTACAAGGAACTGATTGCTAGAAAATAAAAATATTAATTTATATATATAAACACCCTGTTCAAAATTATTATGCAAATTCTATTTAAGTGTCACAAAGATTAAATATTTAGTTTTTCAGTTTAACTCATGGATGGCATTGTGTCTCAGGGCTCTTTTGATCACTGAAAACAATCTCGGGCACGTGTGATAATTAGATTGCCAGGTGAGCCCAATTTAAGGAAAAACTACTAAAGGAGGGTGTTCCACACTATTAAGCAGAGCACCATTTTCATGCCATATGGGGAAGAAAAAGGATCTCTCTGCTGCCGAAAAGAGTGAAATAAATCAATGGCTTGGACGAGGTATGAAAACATTAGATATTTCACAAAAACTTAAGCGTGATCATCGCACTATTAAGAGATTTGTGGCTGATTCAGAGCACAGACAGGTTTGTGCCGATAAAGGCACATTGAGGAAGATTTCTGCCAGATCCATGCATCGGATCAAGAGAGCAGCTGCTAAAATACCATTACATAGCAGCAAACAGATATTTGAAGCTGCTGATGCCTCTGGAGTCCCATGGACATCAAGGTGTAGAGTCCTCCAGTCTTGCAACTGTGCATAAACCTTCTATTCAGCCACCACTAACCAATGCTCACAAGCAGAAACGGCTGCATTGGGTAGAAAAATACATGAAGACTAATTTTCAAACAGTCCTGTTCACTGAGGAGTGCCGTGCAACCCTGGATGGTCCAGATGGATGGAGTAGTGGATGGTTGGTGGACGGCTACCCTGTTCAAACAAGGCTGCAACGTCAGCAAGGCTGTGGTGGAGTCATGTTTTGGGCTGGAATCATGGGAAGAGAGCTGGTCGGCCCCTTTAGGGTCCCCGAAGGTGTAAAGATGACCTCTGCAAAGTACATGGAGTTTCTGACTGACCACTTTCTTCCCTGGTACAGAAGGAAGAACTATGCTTTCCATAATAAAATCATCTTCATGCATGACAATGTTCTGTCTTATCCTGCAAAGAATACCTCTGCATCAATGGCTGCTATGGGGATAAAAGGAGAGAAAGTCATGGTGTGGCCTCCATCCTCCCCTGACCTCAGTCCTATTGAGAACCTTTGGATCATCCTCAAGCAAAGGATCTATAAGGGTGGGAGGCAGTTTACATTCAAACAGCAGCTCTGGGAGGCTATTCTGACATCTTGCAAACAAATTCAAGCAGAAACTGTCCAAAAATTCACAAGTTCAATGGATGCAAGACTTGTGAAGCTGCTATCAAATAAGGGGTCCTATGTTAAACTGTAACGTGACCTGTTAAAATGTTTAAAAAGTTAAAATGTTGTTATAAGTTTGATTGAAATAGCTTTTGATTTCAGTAAATATGCTGCAAACACAACAAATAACAATTTTCAGTTCTTTACAACCTATAAAGTGTTTTGAAACTTACTGTGCATAATAATTTGGAACAGTGCATTGTAAGTTTTTTTATGTTTAAAAAAATACTGTTATCATTATGAGGTCTGTTCAATAAAATTTGAATTGTATTCTTAATAGTTGATAACATGAGAATTGTGCTGACTGTTATTTTCATCAATTATTTAGGTAAATGAGAAACATATCATTTGCATAATAATTTGGAACAGGGTGTATATATATGCGCTTGAGAAATAATACTTTATTCCAAAAGAGTAAAAATATGCAAAAAATAGAGAATTAAAAAGGCAGTAGTACTGCCAATGTACTATTGATAAAATTAGCAAAGTAACCTGTAGTTCAGACCATGTTGGATGAGCATGTTGGATGGGAGCAGGAATCTGTCCTGTGTCTTGGTCGCTGGTGAGGACTGTGTACGTGTCACAGTGCGTTCCACCTCAGACCTCACACTGAGGTGCTCCCTCTGATCTTCAGTATGAGTCCAGGGTCGGCAGCAGCAGAGGATAACTTGCAGTGTAATCTTTCTAACGATCTAAATGCTTGTTGTGACGGACCGCCTGGCACTCCAACTGAGTGCCTCCGCCAATTGATGCTCCTAGTGCTCACCAAGAAATTCCAGCACTCCACCAGACACCATAAGCACTGCAGACCCCGCTTCCAGCAATGCAACTGCGCCAGGGTCTCGCCGTCCTTCACCCACCCTGGACCCAAGACCAGGATCCAGCTTTCAGTGGGCAGACCTCTCCTACTCCCAGAGAGCGTAGCAGGAACAGCTCTTATAAGCGCTAGTGATTATAATTCCTGGGGAATATAGTGATATAGCAATCCCTAGGATAGATATAGCCGTTTGCCCCACACATGAGATGAGACTCTATGTTGAGGGTAAGCAGGAACAGAATTTAACGGGAGCCAAA